AGCCCACCATAATAAGCACCACCCACCATATGCTTAGGGCTTCCCAGCATTATCGCAATGGTGGGCAGAGTGTCCCATTATTGCCCACTATCTAGCCTCTGCTTTCCACCATCATTTCCACTTTACCCATCATCTGTACACCATACCACCCAGTATGTCCCAGCATAACCACCATATTTTCCACTACGTCCCGCCATAGCCATCATAATTTCCACCATGCTCACTATTATTTCCACTACTCCCACCATGTTTTCCAGTATCCACCATGGTAATTTTTCCGATAGGGCTGTAACCAGTGTTGGTCCATCATAAGGCGTCGTGACTTTTCGAAGACGGGTACACAAATCAGCACGAATAATAGAAAACCCAGCCCCAGTGTCCACCAAAGCATCAACGTCTACTCCCTCAACTGAGACTGCAATCATATTGTAAGGGCGCGCTGGAGGAATTGGAGTACTGTGTAGGAATGCAGTTTGTCCTCCAAAAACTGCATTGCTTAGTTTTCCGGACGCCGATCAGAAGCGAGGGAAGCAGGCTGAAGAGGAGAAGAGGAGCGACGGTAGGGCGATGGTGAACGTCGTCTGGTTGATCGAAGACTACTGCGCAGTTCACCGGATGCTGGCGGAGATGGAGACCGACGCGGCGGTGACGAATAACGACGGCCCTGGTACAAGGCTCCTGCGATATAGTCTCGTTCGCGTATGTCGTACCCTCGGCGCTCAACTTGCTGGCGCTTGCGGCAAAAGCGTGAAATGTGACCACGATAGCCGCAATAATAGCACGTAGGGCGAGTCGATCGATAAGGAGGGTGGTAGCTTGTGTTAGATGCACCGGGAGAGAGAGCAGTGAGAGGGACAGATGATGGCTCAGGCGGTGGTGATGCAAAGCTCGTGGGAAAGCTTCTGGGAGGTGCGGCAGCAACCGACGCGTACGTTCGTGGTGGCGACGTCGAGCTGACGGTGCCTGGTGGTGCGCCGACGGCATGCGAGAACGATGGGAGAGTACGATCGACAGTGGGCTGCAGGTGGACCATATGGGTCATGGACGTAAGCTCCTCCCTGATGACATCCCGCAATGACGTTGAAGAAGGCTGAATGGTACATACTGAAGGTAGTGTGAATCCCATTGATTCTAATTCTTCGCGTATTATCACCCTTATCGTTTCTCGTAGGTTTGGATCAGTCGTAATACGGGCCGCGTCACTGTCCGGTTGTAGGCGCATCGACTCAAGTTCTTCGAGGCGCTGACAGGTTGTCGCAACGTCAGCAACGGTAGCCGGATTCTGGATTGCAAGGGCATTGAATGCGACGGGTCCAATGCCCTTAAGAAGCTGGCGTACCTTGTCTGACTCTGTCATTGGGGTGTCAACCCGGCGGCAAAGTGAAAGGACATCCTCGATGTAGGATGTATACGACTCCCCGATGTGCTGTTTCCGAGTCGCAAGAGTTTTCCTTGCGAGAGCTGAACGGACAGCCGGTGTGCCAAAGACATGGCGAAGCTGATCTTTGAAGGCTGACCAGTCGGGGATGTCGATGAAGTGGTTGAGGAACCACGTCTTCGCGACACCCGTGAGGTAGAATGACACGTAAGCGAGTTTGTAGGTGTTATCCCACCGGTTAGCAGCGCCGACCCGTTCGAAATCGTCCAGCCATTCCTCCACATCTTCCCCGCGCATACCAGCGAAGGGATGGGGCTCACGCTGGAGGCTGTTAATGACGTGAAAAGGCGCGGCACGCGGTGGTGGAGTGGGAACGGCTGCAGCACCGACCTCTTCTTGGTGCGACATATTTCCGGACACCTGGCCCAAGCGGCGACCTGAACGTAGCTCCAGGGGGTAGAGTGGTAGAGAGGATGGCGGGGGATCCAACAGCACGCTCCACCACGTATGGGGTCTTGGTTTGGAAGACCTTTATTAGGCCCGAAGAACCGGCAGCCGACAGCTGAGATGATCGGACCAAGATGATGATGCTACGTGACAACGATGAGGATGCATGAGCAACACATGATAATGATGATAATGTACAGATGAAGAGGATTGGTATACTAAATGCCCACAATATATATATATATATATAGGATGATCTGGTACACTTCCATGTGCATAGCCAAAAACAAAATCCACTTAGAAAGCCCGTTTGTGGATGTGCAAAAATTCTACGTCATACAATCGAGTTCAACTTTTTTTTAATCTTTCACTGTGAAGAAGCGTATAACCAGAACATGTCGCACTTCCAGTTAGAACATATGACTGTGACCAAATGCTTCCAGTTCAACTGATGATGGTCCCGGTTGGTGGCCAGTTGAGCTTTAACAGGGACCAGCTACTAACTGTAACCACTTGCAACTTGGACTAATTGTTTCCATTGGTTCTCAGGTGAAACAAGTTGAGCGGTATCTGTGACCAGTTACTAATTGAAACCACTTGCAACTGGGACCAACTGTTCCCAGTTGAATCCCAGCTGAATCCAGTTGGCCTGCAACTGGGACCAGTGGATTCCAGTTAATGCCCGTTCAAGTCACTTGAATGCCCACTTACACATTTTCATCTGGGGAACCTTCGTCGCAGTGCCGCGCGCCAATTCCTAAGATGGGGGCTTACTTTGCACCGTGCCCCCTGTATAGGAACCGCGTTCTGGAAGGCTGCGGAAAGTTTGATTATAATACCTGGTGTTTCTTAGCGTGCACTGACAACACACAGTAGCAGGCTCTAGCATTTGGCTTCCATTAAAATGCGATCGCCGTGACCGGCATCGAACCGGGGGTTTTCAGGTCATAGGCCGAGCACTGGCCGTAACCGCTACACCACCGCAACAGCCTCATGGCATCGCTGATGCGTACACAGAAATCACCAGTGAAGAGGTTCTTTATGACGAGCCTATGGAGAGGCGGCTCGTCACAAAGAACCTCGTCGTTTGACAAGGAATGACCATTTGAAAAATGGTCCTTTTTCGTCGAAGACTAACATACCAGGCCCTCCCTCCCTCTCTTCCCCTCCAAATGTTCTCGCCAATACATACGTACACAGAGAGAAATCACCATTTCAAAATGTGCCCCTCCCCCTCGAATCCCTGAAAAAGAAATTTCTGCGTACGCCTCTGTACGAGCTTGCAAGTCAGCTCATATGTAGTACTAACAACTAAATGTGTGGGGTAGAGAAAACGGAAAACAATCTAATGGCTCGGAACCTCGATATCTTTTAAATGCGAAGCATTTCTTAGTGAACTTGGGCGACTTTGAGCGTATCTATCTATATATCTATCTATCTAGCCACTTATGTTTGGGTGCTCTCATGGGAAACCCCGTAAATTGGCATGAACCAAAATTGGCATGGGAGGGTAAGATGGTTCCACGAATATGATGCGCTGGTCAAGACAAAAATAATGTCACAATGCCATCGCGTACGTCGTCAAACCCTTCCCGCCAGACAGTGGCACATAACCACGGGCGGGAATGTACCAATGGTATGCAGGTATGTGCCACAGGTGATTGACACTTAGTATCTGCCGAGGAACGATGAGACCACACATGGGCAATTTTAACGCGCGAGCGTTAGGAAATACCCGACATCGGCAGCGTCGACCCGATGAATGCAAAGAATAAATGTTAGGGTCTTAGCTGGAAACGAACCCAGGCGTTCTGCGTGGCAATGGAGAATTTTACCACAGAGCTACGCCAGGTCACGAAACATGGAGGAAGGAAAGACCTCCTCTGTGTCACGAAATGACTTTTTAAATCGACGTTAATCTTACTGAAACGCCAATAGTAGTTGCAGTGCTGCCTACCCAATCTCATAAACATGACGTATGTACTCCTTCGATACAGCCGTCGCGTCGGGTAACGTCAATTGTGGTTAGGTGTCATGCGCTGAAGTTGATTTATGTGGCAGTGTCCAGGGCTAGCACCTTCATGGGCATCAGCGCTTCATATCAGCTTCTGGTGTTGTTAATACGCATGTTCCTGTTGGCATCGTTGCTTGTGTGCAGACAACTGGTAATATAAACATTTGCAACTATTCAACATATGTCTGCGTGTATAACATTTGTACATATATTTAGCGTCATTTCATGACGCGTCGCTCAATAAAAAATTGCAACACGGTCACCTTCCCTCCGCATGTTTCTCATAACGTCGATTCTAAGATACGTCGGATCTGCTGAATTTTTTTCTAACTGAAATTCTAGGAGGAAGGGGCCCGGAACACCAGTATGTAAACCCCTGTTGAACTTAGATGCGACACTAATATTTTGGTAGTAGAAGCAATTTTATTCCTAGCTGCCTCTTCAGAAGTTTTCGGTCTCCTCGCGTGCAGCTGAAGATATTTGTATCCGCTCCAACGCACCATGCCTAAAAAGAAAGTGAACTTGTTTTGTATCGTTATCCAAGGAATTGATGCGAAGAAAAGGCCCTGCGGATCGAGCTACGTAGTACAGCTGCAAGAGTGGCCGCAAAACATCAAAAGAGGTTCCTATGTGTACATACATTTCAGTTTACTATTTTTTTTCTTACTTTTAATTTATTTTGCTTGATTGATATGCGCACCTTTGTTTTCCTTTCACTGCAGCTTATTTTCAGTCTGCGCCAAAATGTCGGTCGTACGTCATTTTCACTGTTTAAATATTTTTATATTTTATGCTCTTGACATAAACATTATAATTGTCTGTGAGTAATGCTATCAATGTAATCGAATATCTTTGTGAAAAAGAATGTTATTGAAATGGATCTTCCCCGGATATTCTACATATGTGGCATTCTGATGACGCTAACCTCCCGCATAGCCCCCATACTTCTTTTTTTCTTGTCTACCCTTCATCGGTGCCATGTGTGGCGAACACAACGCGTCTATACCACAACCGTAATACTTGGCTTGAACACGAGGAACTCGTCGGGGCTAGAGCAGACGCGCGTGAACGAACGTGCCAGAGAGCGGCTGCGTCATCTGGAGACTGTATCGTAAACTCTGTCAGCCTCGCCGCCTCGTCAGAGGCCTCGTTCACTACACTAGGCGCTTCACTAGGAAAACCTTTCTAGCGTGTTGTGCCAGTGGTTGTGTTCTTTTGTGGTGCTCTTGCTATTTAACTTCAGCAGTATTTTGCTGAGCGCGCTTGATATAAAAATTTAGACAGGAAGTTCAGGCTCGCGAGCGTTCGTTGTATTCCAGAAGTTCGAGCTCGTGATTTCAGCAGCTACAGGCTTCACCGAAGCCGGCCGAAAGCGACCGGCATTTTTAACACTCTGCAAAGCAGGTAAGAGAAGCGTGTGTTTATGCCCACCATGCAACGTGCGCTGTTACCATTTGCTCGTACTCCGTCTGCAAGCAGTACTTAATGACTGATATTTTGCTCGTACTCCGTGTGCAAGCAGTACTTAAGGACTTTTATTTGTGTATCGAGTTTTTAGTAACCGTGGGTAGTTTTGTAGACTGTTAAGAATCGCCGTTGAGAAGCTTTTTTCTTCGTGTGTGCTTACACCAATGAAAATAAAATCGCTATATCACTTTATAGTTGTTTTCTCGCTTGATAGCTTGCAACCCTCCGTTTTTTCATTTAATACATCGTTCCCGTTGTGTCGCTTTCCATTGCTTTCTTTGTTGGGTATTGCCAGGACCGGATTAACATTGCGGAGGGCCTGGTTCAAAAAAATAAGGGGGCCCCTCGCCCTGCCCCCTTTCTTTCCCGCTTGTCATCTGGTAGTGCTTCAGACTTGACGCTTTTTAGATTTAGCTGCAAAGAGCACAAGCCAAATTTATTCTAAGCATCTGTAGAGTGCTTAACATCACCTGGGCGTTTTCTTTCTTGCGGTGCACGGGGAGAGATACGTTGTCATCGTAATAAATAACTATATCAGGAGACGAAGACGCATGGACAGCATTAAAATTTGTCTAGTTTGTTAGATCATCCTGAAAGAAGTATAAAGTGTGCTAGAAGTTGAGACGAAAAGAAGGAATGCATACAACACTACCATTCGTCTTAACCTAAAGCGTTAGTTACCCTTATTTCAAGGGAGCACATCTTCCATGGAAAATCAGGGAGCGCCTTTGTGAAAAATAGCTTCCTATATCTGCTTCAACTTCACTGATTCAGTATCGCATCCTTTGGTTGCCTTTGTGCGAGCACTGCCTAAGTTGACAGGTGGGGCTTTTTTCAGGAACTGTTTGCACATATTTTCTGTAAATAGGCTACTAATCGTCTAGCTACTTTTTATTTCATACAAGAACACACATTACAGCTCTTTTAAGGCAGCATTTCGATATATTTCTGTTATGCATGTTGTATATGCCTTTTGATCGCAACAAGTAATAGAGATAACTTAAAATTAAAATATATTCAGTATGAGAAGTGAGTTGGCCAAATCTTTTGGAAAAAGTGCCTCCTATAAAAAATGAGATGCACATAAAACTTACACAAAAACTTTTTATGAAAACTTGAAAACAGACTACACATTTTAATTTATGCATAAATCGTTCACTTTTATACATGTAATACGGTTAAATTTTTGCAGGCAATATTCGCTTTCACGTACAGAGGAAGAAGTTGGCTGGACGACATGTTTGGTACTCGAATGAGGGCACAAGTTTCCGCCCCCCCACCCCCACCCCCTTGATAAATATGTTTATTCTAATATCTCGAGTGCTTCAATATCGCTACTATCCCGGCTGTGGCGGCTGCGTTTCCGATGGAGGCGGAAATGTTGCAGGCCCGTGTGCTCTTATTTGGGTGCACGTTAGAGAACCCCAGGTGGTCGAAATTTCCGGAGCCCTCCACTACGGTGTCTCTCATAATCATATGGTGGTTTTTCGGATGTTAAACCCCACATATCAATCAAATCAATCAATTCAATATCGCTACTGTATATATAGAATTATAGATGTAGATATATATATATTTATATATACATCTTAGCAGCGTCCTTAATGCTATGATGTGAAAACAGTACTTCAAAGAAAAAAAACTAAACAAGGAGCTGAATGACAATTCAAACCACTGTCCTCTCAGTTCTGAGCACGGCACATTTGCCCACTGCGCTTCTAGGGCCCATTGGTTCAGTGGGAATGACTAGCTGGTTTTGTGTTGTTGTCACACCGGATGCAACTTCAAGATTTGTTATTCTTAGGGCTAGACGTAGTTGCAACTGCTCCCGTCTTTATGTCCAGATGTAGCTCTTGCGTAAGGTGGAAGTTACGTCCAGCCGTAACGTTGATCAGCTGCTAAAGTTACGTCCACCGTGTGGCTCACAATGTGCCCTTGAGTTCGATTGGCCAGTCTTAAAGGTTGGGAAGGTGTCGCTTAGCGGTGCACTTTCATCGCTAACACACCATTTTGCTCAAGTGCCTCGTGTCCCTACACTGCAATAGAGTACTGAGCTGTAGCAACGTGGTTTGGGACATCTGCCACTGCCACCAAGGTTATTTCCTTAAAGGAAAAAAAAAATTACATGTTAGCGGTGGTCGTGGAGCATCAATGCTATAATATTGAAACAGTACTTAAATAAAAAAAAATGGGGAAAAAATCTGCAAGGAAACCGTCCTACCTTCTTCATCCCTTACATGTTAGCCCGCTGCGCCACCAAAGCCGATTGGTTCAGTGAGTTTAACGTGCTGGTTTTGTATTGTTGTCATGCTGGATGTAACTTTAACGGCTTCTATTGCTACGTCTTGATGTAACGCTAGACACTCCGTTGTGTATAGCGCCATAACCAAGCTCAGTTAGCAAACTGTAGGTGCATCTGGCAATGTAAGATCTTGATTCTGGAATTTCGAGTAATGTATTCACTGTAGCACAGCCATTTATTTTACTGACATCTGAAGGAGGATTAAAAGTGATGATTGTTAAAAGAATGCAGTGATGTTTTTAGGTACTCAGAGAAGTAGCTGAATAGCCGTCACATGTTCACCTGGTGGAACGTTAATAAAGCCATTGGCATGCTCCGCATTTTAAGCTCGGAATCGTTGCACATTATACGCACTCGCCCCGCACGTACAACAATGCACGCACAAGAGCAACTCTCACTCAGAATTTGTAACAAAGATGATAGTGTATGAGATATGCCATGAAGTTATATTCGGATGGGTGCAGGGTTCATGAAGTAAACAAGAAGTAAGAAGTATGGGCGGATTATCCAGGGTTCAAAGCGTTAAAATTAAGGGGGCTCTTCAGTATTACGGGGTCTCCCAAGGGCTAGGAAAAATTGGCGACTGTTGTTTTGCCCGAAAAAGTTTAATTCTCCTGCTGGAACTGCAGAAAATACGTGTGCAATGAATGTTATTTCTTTTCCAGTGAGATTAAATATTGCCTACAAAATTTTAACCCTATTACATGTTTAAAAGAGAAAGATTTCTGCATAAATAAAAATATTTCTGGTTGTTTTTTGCCTGTTACTAAAGATATCTTATATATCCGTTTCATGTATATTTTTATAGGCACCACCTTTTCCGAAAAATTTGGCCCACCCCCTTCTCATATTGAACATACTTCAATTTTAAACCATCTGTATTACTTGCTGTGATCAGTAGGCATATACTAATACTGTACTAATAAAATACTAACATATATAGGAATATAGTATAATATACAATTTTGGCATAGCCAAAATACTAAAAGGCACAAAAATATTCTCCAGTTTCATATTACAAATAATTTTCATGCAGTCCATCACAGACAGTTTGTTTCCGAATCACTGGAAAATTAATAAGGTAGTACCGGTATTCAAGTTTGGCAGCCGCTTGGATCCTTCAAACTACTGTCCCATTTCGCTTACAAGCATTGCTTGCAAACTCTTTCGACATATAATATATTCACAAATAGCATGCCAACTAAGTAATCATTCCTTATTTTTTCACAATCAACATGGTTTTCGGCCAGGCCTATCGTGTGATATTCAGCTCTTTGAATTTGTTACAGATCTTCACTTAAACCTGATTGATTTGTGGGGTTTAACGTCCCAAAACCACCATATGATTATGAGAGACGCCGTAGTGGAGGGCTCCGGAAATTTCGACCACCTGGGGTTCTTTAACGTGTGCCCAAATTCTTCACTTAAACCTAGACTAACCTTTTCAAACTGACGTCATCTACCTAGATTTTGCCAAAGCTTTTGATTGCGTTCCCCACCAGTGACTTTTGGGCAAGCTTGCATGCCTACGGCCGGACCCCTTCGCATTGTCATGGAATCCGCTGCTTTCTGACAAATCACCTACAATACACAGTTGTCGGAAATTAATGTTCACCCACTACTGACGTGATTTCGGGAGTACCACAGGAATCCGTCCTTGGTCCTCTGCTCTTTCTCATCTTCACTTCATAAACGACCTTCTTAACGGCATTTGATCTCCCATTTGACTTTTTGCAGACGACTCTGTCCTTTATCGTCGCATTGCAGACCATAGTGACCATGATATCATCCAAAATTATTTGGATCTAATCGAAACCTGGTGTTTCAATTCATTAATGCAACTCAACATATCGAAATGCAAAGTGATGCAGATATCTCGTAAGCGCTCAAACAGTAGTTATACGTACTCCCTAAACTCGATAGATTTGTGCTCCATTGAATCATATCGTTATCTTGGTGTCACAATAAATAACAAGTTGACATGGTCAATTACAAGCTGCCGATACTACTAAATCACTTGGTTACATCAGACGTTCCTTTTCCTTGTCTCCCTCAGCCACGCGAAAACTGGTGTATGAAACATTTATACTGAGTAAGCTTGAATATGCCTCAGCTATTCGGAGCCCTCACCAAGCGTACCCCATTAACATTTTGGAATCCATACAAAACCGTGGGGCCAGATACATCTCTTCCAGGTACAGCCGTGATGAAAGCAGCAGTGCCATAACGTCATCCCTGGGACTCGTGTCATTGTCACTCCAACATAAGATTGTATGGCTGTGTTTGTTCCATAGGCTCTATTACAACTTCCCTCAACTTCATGGTAAACTCCTAAACCCCCCACACCGTATATCTCGTCGCCTTTTCAACTCTTGCAGCATCCAGTGGTTGCATGGTTGAACGTCTTCTTTAAATCAATCTTTTTTGCCGATCGCCATTGCAGAGTAGAATATTTCCAGATAGTGTTGTCATTGAGCGTAACCCCATTGTGTTTACTGATCACCTCACGCTGTAATATTCATTATGACCTTACTCTGTTCTCCATGTTCAGCTACATTGTAATGTTCTTATTTTGCACCTAAACAGGTAATCTATTACACTGAGATGTGCGTTTGAAATTTGTGACCTGACAAGT